CTAGGCAAAACCTGTGTCATGAATTCCTGCACTCTCCAGATCAATATACCGAAACGAGGGTACAGGGTGCGACCTGGTTACATACAGTACATATGCTTATAAATCAGACAGGGTAACCGCAATTTATCAATTTATGAATTTTTCTAAGCGCATATGAACTTTAGTGGAAACTCCCTAAAGTGGGATTATATGGGGGATTTTGTAGAGGAGTTTTATAGGGATTAATAGGGGGGATACTAGGAGTTTAGACTATGAGTCATATAGCTAGGGGGCCCTCACTGTAGGCAGCTGGCAGCGGTGAGGTCAGTGTTCTCCACTTCCTGCGCAGCAACATGGATGTCCAGTCCCTGCATGCTGAAGCACCCGAGGCAGTTGCATTTCACACAATCCGGGATCCCTTCTTCAAGTATAAGGTCTAGGGTTTAGTACAAAAGCAACTGACTATTCAGGTTCGCGCGGTTTATGGCTTCGGGTTTAGGGGTTTAGGGTTTAGGGTTCCATGGGCAACACACCAACTACGTCGGCTGCATCCCCCTGCATAGCTAGGAGCTTTTCATTTTGGCTGTGCTATCGAAGTGGATTTTGATGAATGCCCACCCCAGCGCGGTTTCTACCGCCATCTCGCAGTCCAAAGTGGATGCTTTTCTAGAGGAGAAGCGATTGCAGAAACGACTGCAAATCGTCAACGTGACCAAGTCTCGGGATGACTATGCCCACGTGCTAGAAGCAAGAGCTTGCACCGAGTATGTGATGCCCGACTTTTCACTGACACCTCCTAGCACACCCAGAGTGGACTGCAAGGAACCGAAAAGAGAATGGGAGCGGAAAATGCACACATGGAAGCAAAGCCTGAAAGCCTGGGGAGAGTGGTGGCTCCAGCACCGTGTGGTTTCCCCAGCAGGCTGCAGCATCAACCATGATTGTGCTTGAGCAGAACGCGAATTTTGGGCGAGACGGGTTTCAGATGACTTCGTCGGCCCATCTAATTGGATGAACTCGTTCCGGCTACTTCCAACGAGATCGCACAATTAAGAGTATGAAGGGCTGTGCTCACAAGAGGGGTTCCCATGAGTTCGGGCGTTTGAAATAGACAAGAATATTACAAGGCTGTTGCGGGCTGTGGTTCCAGGGAGGTGTGAGCCGGGATCGGTCAGACGCATGTTCATATGGCTACTTTTAAATCTCCTCCCCAAATCCCCCTAGTGATTCATCTAGCAATCAACCTAGCCCTGACCCTCGTCTTGGTGTAGCCACTGTAGGTATGACATTTTGGAACACGCTTAACCACCCGGAAGCTGAGTCCCAACCTCCTAGACCCTAAACCCCTAGAAACCCTAAACCCTAACCCCCAAGCCCCCAAAAGCTCGGCAAAGACGGCCTACCTTACACTCAAAGTTGGCAACATCGTGACCCAAAGCCCGCAACGTGATTTAGGGTTCAGGGTTCAGGGGAAAAAAGCCAAAGGCCATTATTCTAGATACTTTAGGGGTTTGCAGGCGAAACGTTCAGAAAGGGAACCGAAAACGATATCTTGAATCAACACACCTAATGTGCGCCATGGTTTTTGTTGAAATTCTGAGGTGTCTCGCAAATCCTGCTTCCGGGCCCCTCGAGCCTAAATCCGAAGTCACAAGCCACCCCAAACCGAGATCCACAGCCATAAGTCCTAAGCCATGCTGAAACCTCTAGGGTTTAGTGTTTAGGGTTCAAGGCTTCATCTTTTTAACCCCAAACCTTGGGCTCTACTAAGCCAACACCCTATTCGGGTTTTGCCACACATTGGGATGTTCTTGTCTACATGTACCTATAGTGAGGGTTGCAACTTGGGGACCCTATTTTTGGAAACTACTTGGAGGTCAGTCGGGCTTAGCAACCTACCTACTAATGTTCCCCGACCCTCCAAGTAAACCCTAAACCCTAAACCCTAAACCCTGATCCTTATATATAACCCCAACAGTTTAAGCCTGCTTTTGAATATTCAAGCCCAAGCCCTCAACTTCAACACCCGAAGCCGTTAACAATCCCCAATCCCCTCAAGCCCCTAAAGTTGTACAAATTCCTGAAGCCCTTAATTAGAGCATCCAGAGCCCCTACATAGCCTGGGCTTCCATTTGTCCATTGGATTTTCGTGCTGATTTTCCGTTATGGTCTCTATACCCGAAAACAGAGGTTATATGGGAGCTCCAGTGGCTTTAGGGATCAATAGAAGAGTGGACAATCAAACGGAAAATCATGGAAAAGGAAAACCCTAAACCTGAAACCCTAAACCCTGAACCTCAGACTCTAAACCCTTAGCCTTCATTCCTAAACCTTAAACCTCAAACTCTAAAACCCTTACCCCCAAACCCTGAACTCTCAGCCTCCAAACCCACAGCACCACGAGTCGCCCGGGGAATTTGCTGGGCTGCCTCCGGCCTATCGGGAAGTTCTCAAGCAGGCGGCTTGGGTCCATTTATTTTTTTGGGGGTTTCGAAGAGTTTCAGAATTTAACGTTTGAGCGCTTAGGGTTTAGGGGTTCAGGTTTTAGGGGTTTAGGGTTTAGGGTTTAGGGGTTCAGGGTTTGAGGGCTTTAGGGTGTAACGATGTAGGTGTGACCTTGGAGCTTTACGTAGGGTATGTGAAGCCATTTCAGGGCAAGGGTACTAGGGAGATCTTGGTTTAGGGTTTAGGGATTAGGGTGCTTACAAGAATCCATAGATAAGCCTATGGTCTGTTTATAACCGTTTCTAATAATGCCAAGTGGGGGCTTCACCACAATCATCCCCCTTTCAGAGAGAGAGAGAGAGAGAGAGAGAGCGACAACTTGAGGATAAGGCCTGGATTTTTCATTGGCCACGCATTTTAAGAGTCCGCTAAACCTGAATGTTCGAAGATGCATGATGTATGTATGCATGTATGCATGCATGCATGCATACATAAATACGTACATGCATACATACATACTTCGGTGCTGAGAGCAGGGCATAGGCCTACAGGTTTGAGTTGGCCTACCTGACCCAAGGCAGGCTTCTCTTACAGAAGCTACAACTTGTAAACATAACCTTAAACCCTACCCCCTTAAATGTTTAGGTCAGATTGGCTCTGCGGGACGCGGTGAGGGCAAGTTTAACACGCTAAGGGTCCAAAGACCTAAATAATAGGGTTGTAGCTAAAACCCTATAATTTGGGTCCTTGCACCCTTAAGGACATGAGTTCATGATGTCTTGCCCAGGCTGGACGGATGGACTAGGATCGTTGAAGCCACTTGAAGTTTCTTATGTGCCCGAACAGCCAGGATCTCATCGGGCCGGCAAAGGTTCATATAATTTTCAGATCCTCAGTACAATAATATAGTAGTAGTTTCCATTTGATTTTCCATTATCCCAATATAACCCTAATATAACCCTAAACCCTATATAACCCTATATAACCCCAATATAACCCCTAAGTGGCTACTACATGGCTTTCAAAGTAGGGCTGGTTGGCCTTGAGGGGCGGTCGAAGTCCCTAAACCCTACGATATTCAGGATTACATCCCGCACGTACTACCTCAATTAGGGATTCTATAGGGTTCGGGGTCACTATGCCCCAAATGTAGAAACAGATGCACCAGAAAATGGAAAAATACTGGACACCGCGATTACATGGACGCGCCTGGACCCCTTGACTCTTTTGAGGGCGTTGGTCCATGATTTTACTTTTAAGGTTCAGGGAATCCTTAAACCTTAGCAGTTGGGCCCCGACCTTTGCGGTGTTAGCCAATAGAAGTAACCGAATGATTGGTACTATTCTCCCACGATGATCGTAATATAACAAACCTCACAGCCCTAGTTTTCTTGTTTAGACAGCGACTTGGGGGGAGGGGGGGGGGGGCCAGGGGAATTTCGTAAGTAGGTGAATGACCCGTACAATCCATGGAGTAATTCAGCTTTCCCAATTATATGAACCTATTTGCTAAGTCCGCCTGACCCTCCAAGTACAATAATATGGTAGCAGTTTCCATTTGATTTTCCGTTATCCCAATATAACCCTAACATAACCCTAAACCCTAATATTACCCAATGGGGTATAGGGATTGGGGCGGTAGTTCCCCAAAATACGGGGACCCCAATATAGACTCCAAAGTACTATAATCCTTATTATGGAGACACCCAAAATGGTATTCCTAATTTTGGGAAACCCCCATATCAACCCTAAGGGGTTGAGAGCTGTAGTATGTTTCCCGGAGCTCTTTCATCCTCGGCTCCTGGTCCAGCTCCACTGTGATCACTTCTAGGTCAGAAGCGTTTAGGGTTTTGGGGTTTAGGGGTTTAGGGTTTTAGGGGTTTAGGGTTTAGGGGTTTAGGGGTTTAGGGTTTAGGGGTTTAGGGGTTTAGGGTTAAGCCTGCTGAAAACTGAAAAACTGTCAGCCCATTACATGAATACATTTTCCTTACAACCTCCACGGATGCCATGCATCCCCTCCCTGTTTAGCCTTTATATAGCATTTTCTCTCTAACCCTAAAGGACCTATATAATTCCAGGTGGAATCCTCCGGCTGGAAGTCCGTCCACTGGAAGGAGGGCCAGAGGCTCAGGGCCTTGTCCTACAGGCCTACAGCCTCCCAAGAGATTAAGAGGGATTCTAGGGGGTATTGGAGTTAAATGGGGGGTACTAGGATGATAGTATATATATATATGTATGGGTAATGTGGGGTTTGAAGGCCTCGGTGGGTCAAAAGAATGAGGGGCGTGTGTTCTCGGTCAACGGCTTCAAGACCTATGTTGTTGTTGCTGCTGGTGCTGGTGCTGGTGCTGGTGCTGGTGCTGCTGCTGCTGCTGCTGCTGCTGGTGGTGCTGCTGCTGGTGCTGGTGCTGCTGCTGCCGCTGGTGCTGCTGCTGATGCTGGTGCCAGGTTCCTAAGCATAAAGGCCTGGGGAAGCAAGGCCATGAAGTGGAGGAGCTGTTGTCTCATGAAACCTTTTTCCCTGAGTGCTTTGCGGTTTTGTGATCGGCACTGTCAGAAAGAGCTGAGGCTTTACCATGTTGCATTGGGCGGCGCAGAGAAATGAGGCCATAAATTGCAAATCCAAGCCCTTTCGCATATTTGCAGGGACCGACAACGAGTATGATGGCCTGCACTTTACACTTTGCATTTGCCAGCGTTTCAGGCTTTCGGGTGGCTGCGTGTAGGATGGAGGAATTGGTGGTCTTGGGCGCCGGAATGTTCAGGGCTCAAAGTTTGTAGCCCAAGTCTTGAGAGTAGATAAAAGGGCTTCCAAGAGCTTCGTCCATTGCAGTAAAACAGTTATTGTCGCGCCTGAGGTTTGGTTTTTCCTGTGTGAGTTGCAGAACATGTGCCGCCGTGTAAGCTTGAAGCCAAAGAACAACAAGTCTGGCGGTCTGCTCTCCAAGGCAAGTGTTCTCCTGTTGGGATGGACCAAGCTGCTGAGAAGTGCTGCGGCCAACATTTCTTTTCTTCTCACGTTGGTCATTCTCAGTGCTAGATCTTTCGGTGAAAGGTATTCATGCCAACGCTGAGAATGCAAGCCGTTGTGTTCTTAACAACTCAAGACAATTGTGATTGCAACGAAAACGGTACGACAGAAATAGAACTGTCATAGTCTAAAGTCAATGACATGATCGCTACATGTTGGACAGGCTGCTTTGGCACGACATTTGCTGTCCCTGGGGGCAGATCCCGATGCGAAAGAATCGATGGCCGGGTTTGGGATACGGGGCTGGGAGGTTAGGGTTCAGGGTTTGGGGCTTAGGGTTTGGGAGCCCCATGTTTCAGAAGGTTCGGGGTGTTTGAGTTCAGGTTTCCGGGCCTGAGCCAGGACGTTGCTTTCAAGGAAGGAGTGTTCGGGTTAGCCAAGGGACAGAGGGGTATGGATTCCGGGTTTGTCGATAATTGCTGTTTAGCGTTCCTTCATGAAACGCGAACTGCCCTTAGGCCCTAAATCCGCCCCGGTCCTAATTTTCAATCGCAAACAGGAAGCTTTAGTGGTGAAGGCGCGCACGATTGCTCCCGGAGATTGTCATGTAGAAACCTGCGGAATTACTTGCATGATCGCTTTACAATCCTTACGTAGCTTTAGATGTTCTAGTAGAATTTGCCTAATCTACAGGGCCCTACACTAGTTTTGACTGTAGGAGGCTCAGGGTTGAGGCCAAGTAGCGCTCGCGTTACCGCCCTAAACGCAAAACTAAATTGAGTAGTATTTTATTTGGGGATACTACTATGGTACCCAGTAATTACAGACTAAGATTCTATCCTCCTTTTTGGGTATAGTAGTTTATATATAAGGGATATAATCTTACTAGGTTCAACCACCAAAAAAAACTACTCAAGTGCAGCCTTGGCAGGCCGCCTAGAAAGACTGCTGTCCAGTACCCGTTTGCGGGTCCAGGGTTGAAAGGGGAACCCCTAAACCTTAAAGCCTAAGCCCTAAACCCTAAACCCATTTCATTTCAACGGTTGTGAGTGGGAAGCTTGGATTAGAAGTTTGGGCTGCAGTAGGCCTAAGCCCTGAACTATAGGGTACCCATTGGGGTAATATTAGGGTTATAGGGTCCCCAATCATGGAGAATCAAATGGAAAAGAACATGGAAAAATCAAATGGAAACTGGGGGAACATAGGTTTTGATGGTTATATAGGGGTTATATGGGGATAATGGAAAAGAAAATGGAAACTACTATAATGGGCTATACAGGGTTGAGGGTGTCATTGTAGTGAAGATTGTTAAACAAACTTGCCCCTACGGGACCCTCGGGATCTACATGAGTTATACGAAATTGGGCTTGCGGCATCCTGTAGGAATGCAGAGGGATCATGGCAAACGACTCCCACATAGGGTACCCATTGGGGTACTATTAGGGTTATATTGGGTTATATGGGGATAATGGAAAAGAAAATGGAAACTACTATAATGGGTTATATAGGGCATGTCTCACCTGCAAGTCCTGCAGAAGCGAGAACACAAGCTAGACAAGCTTGCCTCCTGCATGTGAGCTATAGTCTAAACTCCTTAAAAGGGGTTTCATAGGGGATTATATAGGGGACTACTATAGGGCTTATTAATGGGGATACCAGGAGTTTAGACTATAGCTCATGTAGAGAATGCAGGAACTGTTTTTAGAAAATTATCAGTTCTCGGTTTGGGGTTAGCTTGCTAGGAATGACTCGAGTTCTGTTAGAATCTGTTAGGACGCACGCACTGAAACGCATTAACACGGGCCTTCGAATAGTGCCTCGCGACGCTCGAAGCCAAACCGAGAGACATCAAAGTGTGTCTCTTCCTTCAGGCATTGCCAACATTATCACGCATGTACTTGGTGGTCCGGTGGTAAATATAAACTTCTTCTAACTCTGCTTATAACCCAGGTATAGGTTCTCAAATGTGCTTATAATGGAACATTACCGCTTTTTGGCACCGCGCAACCACTTGAAAACTGCTTTAGTCACCTGGGGTCCTGAGTAATGATAATGGTATAGTGTCAGGGCCAATTTATGACATATCAGCAAGCAGGCGATGAATTTGCGTGAGGTGCATTTGCCTCCGTTTTCGAAGCACTGTTTCATGAAGCCCTTCGGACAGCGTAGACAAGTTGCACAAAACCCTGAGCCCCCAAGCCAGCTTCGTTTTAAGTTGTAGGAGCTGCGCCTTACATACTTCTTTCCTCTATGAGAATTAACATGTTCCCCTGTGCCGCAGCACCACCGTACCGCCTTGGACGTTGCGGAGAGACAGGGCAATCGTGAGGCCAGTGGCGCAGTGAAGGCGTAAAGCATGGCAGGGCTTCTGATGCTGGGGCTTCTGGATGTTGAGGGGTCTAGGGTTTATAGTCCCCCTTAAGTAGATAGAATATGGTGCTTATGAGGATCTTATTATAAGATCCCCAAAGCCATATTCTATCTACTTAAGGGGGACTATAGGGTTTAGGGGCTTTGAAGATTTCTTGGTCTCAAGGCCTACACACAATCAAAGTAGTGAGCATGAAGGGGCAGCTTCTCCAGACGTGTTTTACATAATGCTGAAGGGTGCCCATGCGATCTTCTGTAGCTCCCCCATATCTCCAGGCTTCTTTTGGCCACCCTTCCCGTGAGAGACTTTCAGCCTGAATCTCACGTATCCCGAAACTCTAGGCAACTACAGGAGGGTGTTGCCGTGTAGGGGTGCTATATGAGCGTTGTATACTGGTTATAACATAACTCCCCACGGTCCCTACACGACCTGTATTTTGCCCCCTCAGTAGTTGGTCCTTAAATATCCCCCTTATGAGGAAGGCCTTAAGGACAACACCTCGATGAAGAGTCATGCAGAGGCTGGGTAAGGCGTGACAGAACATGTGATCTCAGCTGCGCTTCTGATCACCTCCAACACGTACGAAAAGTGTGCAGCTCCGACATGCTAAGCCTAACGGTGTCGAAATACCCTGCAGGCTGTTTTATGCCAGGGCGTTGTGCGAAGCGTAGTCGCAATAAGGCTCCTGCCATCCAGAACAACAAGGGTGCCTACACATCAGTATGGCATGGAGTGGCGATGTGCTTCATTGTGCAGTAGGTATATGCCAGCTTAGGATCAAGCATGAGCTGGGGAGTTCACACTGGAATTCCATTGTAGAATATCATGGTGCAAGAGTCTGATGTGGAAAGCTCCGTGCCCTTGTTCAATGACGTGGACGTTGCTGCAGAATAGCTTTTCGAATATGAATGGCGCCTTCTCTACCCAGAGCAGACCTGTACAGCATCAGCAGGCACGCGCATCCGGCTTCGAGATGCCATTCACATTTCTGGTACTGCCACGGCTTCAGGGCAGAGCGGCAGCAACAAGAGCCAGTTACGAATGCTCAGTATGCCCGGGGCATACTGAGCATTTGTCATTGGCTCTTGTTGCTGCGGTTCTGCCCCGAAGCCGTGACAGTACCAGAAGTGTAAATGTTGAAGCTTTCGGATGCCATGGGGTCACAGGCCCAGGCATGGATTGAGGGAGATCTCAGCAGCTGCATCTGCTCGAGGCTGGCGCTGGAGCTCCAGTGCGCGCCTGACCACGCCTGACCACCATGTCTTTTTCACGGGTAGCAGATATTTTTTTGACTGGCACACTCCTGGATGTTGGGAGTGGGTTGTCCTCATTCTGCTGATGATCGTTTTCGCGAGAACTGTGTTGGTTGCAGTTGCTTGCTTCGCTCCGATATATACCCCATTATCATGTAGTAGTTTCCGTTTTGTCTTGGTTGCAGTTGCTTGCTTCGCCCCTGTATATACCCCGTTATAATGTAGTAGTTTCCGTTTTGTTTTGTCATTACCCCTATATAACCCCATTATGACCCCAATACAACCCTTATATAGCCCCAATATGTCCCCCTACCTCATAACCAAGCTGTGTTTGTATTTCCCGGTGCTATGAATATGTCCCTGTTAGAATTCGATCTCTGGTCGCTGCTTAAACTAAGGTGAGTAGCGCTTCTCGTGCTTATATTTAGGGTTTGGGGTTTGGGGTTAGGGGGACCGCGATAGAGTATATGGGATTTGTACTGGGAAAATGGAAAAGAAAATGAAAATTACTTTTTTATATAGGGGTTATAGCAACAGTTATTGCTTTGGGCACGAGAGCTGCGGTCACCTCCTTCCTTGCCAAGCTCCACCGATTCATAGGCATTTGTAGTTTATACTATGTTGACTGGGTGCTCAGCATAGCTGCTGCACTTGCAAGCGCTTCTGCCACGGTCTTCCTTGGCTTCTGGATGGGCCCACTCTTTTTTTTGATCGCTGTCTGCATGGTTGCGTTTTTATTTTATTGGCGTGACCTCAAGATGCGAGCAAGAGTGGCACAAGAGGCCGCTGAACGAAGCATTGTCTTCCAAGGTCAGGTAAGCAGCGAGCGCCATAAACCATGCATCTGTTCCTGGCCCGGGAAGTACGAAACTGAAACTGCCTGGGAGGACTTGGCGCAGAGAAGCAGGGATGGCGAGATAACTGCGGCCGTGGTGTTTTTGCCAGACGGAAGCACAAACTTCGGAAATCATCAAGCTAGCAGCGCTGATGAGAATGCTCAATGCTGGTGTGTTGATCTTTACATCGAACGGAAGCCCTGGCGTTGCTACTGGCGGCACCTTTGGATCTCCAACATTGAAAAAGCCGTTCGCAATGGAGCACTTCTCAATGTGTACCTTTTTCGAAGGCTTGCCGGGAATAGGCAGGGTTTCTGTATGTGAGACAGCAGGCCCAGAGCATTTGCAACACGATGAAATCTTCAGCTGAAAGAAAAACTTCGAAGCATCTAGGGAATATTTCAGGATGCGCGAGATTCAGGTCTGGAGAGGTTGAGCAAGAAGAAGCGGCATGACAGCTCTTCCCAGTACAGTCGTGAGCAGCACAGGCTCTTTTTGAATTGGCTTTCCGCTGAGGACTTCTGCTGAGAACCGCGATTTCCTTCGAGAATCGGAGGGGCTAGGTAACTCGCAACAAGCTGAAGTGGCTTCGTTGGATGTAGTAAGATATCTGGAGCCAGGAGTAGGACTCAGCGAAGAGGCGGATGTCTCGCGCGCGAATGATCCATGATTTCGGAGCGCTGTGACGAGTCCTGCCGGTAGCATCCGGCACGACAAGCAAGCACAGCAGAAACATGGGGCAGACTAGACAAAACTGCGCGCAAGCTCCTTGTGAGGGATTTCTGGTCTCCATGCAGGCACTGGTATCAACACTCAGACTATTTGGCTCTCATACATCCTTTTCCAATACGTCATCCTTACCGAGTCGCAGGGTTGTCTACGGCTGCTCCGTTCAAATGCACTCGCAGTTCATGGCATGCGACAAGCTGATGAGCAAGATGATTTTGGAAAGCGGGGTGCAGCTGATGGGTATTGCACAAAAATAACCCCACTCATATACCCCCAGAACAAGATCGCCGTTTATAAGCAGATGTAAAGCAGGGACTCATAATGTCAAGTAACCACAGATAAAGCCGATGACAGCGTCAGGCCGGCTCCTATGATGCCGGGTTTTCGGAGTTCAGTGCTTTGGGATGTAGATCGGGGGGTCAGGTCCTGGGGGGTAGGCTTGAGGGATTGGGATTTGCTTTCGGCGTTGAGTTGCATTTTGTGGCAGATCTTGGAGCATGAGGGAATCTAGCTGCACAGCGGGAGAGGTTATGATATCTGACGGTGTAACGAAGTTAAATCACGGATAGCCGTAAACCATGTGCTGTTACGCTAGGCTAATACTACTCGTCCTCGCTCAGCCGACATGGGACCCCATAGAGTGTTCTTTCAACAGGGAGATCGTCCAGGCTACCATTTGGCGTTCTGTGTTAGTTTGTGGAGCGTAACAGGGAATAATTCCTCCATGTAGTCCTGTCTGCGGGGTCCTGAGAATACCCCAAAAAAAACATTCAAGCCCTGAACCGCACGCCCCAAGCACAAATCTCCTAAGCACGTAACTTGTTACCCCCAGGCCTCTAAATCCCAAACCCCCAAATCTCGAGATTCCAACCCGCAAGCGTCTACTAATTGCATCCTAATCTGCCTAATCCTAAATTTCTAGAAGTTCTAATGCCCTGCAGCGGAGGTGGCAGCTGTCCTGCGGCCGGCAACCAGGACTACTCCCTCGCCCAAGAAGAAACCCCTCTCCCCTGATGTAAGAACCCCAATCTAGCACCATCATCATTGCGGGACCTTCCCAGGGGGTGGAAGTGTTATTCTTTAAGGGGGAGGGGGATTATCATTAAATCTGAGAGTTACCAGCTAGTGGCTTTCAAGTTACCATCTATGGGGGGGTCCTTCTGTGATAAGTTTTTGAGGGTTTTGCGTTTTGAGTTTTGGGCTTAGGATTGATGATATGGGGTTGCTCTGGCCTTCTTCGAATTACTAATCCCTAAACTCTGAACAAAAAAAAAGCCTCTAAAGGCCTGAACCCTAAACCCTAAACTAAAACCTGACCCGCATTTACAGTCGGGCTTGTCAGCTCCCTGTGTTCCGTGCTCCTGCTGCTGGTACTGCTGCCTTTGCCTTTGGTATCCGAGCTCCTTTTTGGGGGTCCCTATGATAAGGATTGTAGTATTTGGGGGTCTATATTGGGGTGCCCCTATTTGGGGAGACTACCATATAAATATATGTATATACATATATATATATATACGTGTGTAAATAGGCTTTAGGTTTATATTTTTGAGAGGCACACTAGGGGCATACATGGATCTTATGGAAATGCCGTGGGGTCTTGGTTACTAGCTGCGTAGGGATAGTTTTGAGCGAGGCCCCTGCGAGAAGCTGTTCTACTTTGCAAAGGAGGTCCGCAAATCATAAGATCGAAGTATAGATCAAAGTTTAATTGGGGAGTAGACAGGAATGCTCATTTCGCACAGCGGAGAACGGGGATCCTTGTCGTGGATCTCAGAGCAACTGGACATCACACCAAGGTGCTGCAACCCAATGCAGCGGCAGCCCTGAGAGTCTGGCCTTAAGCCAGAATCCCTACCCAAGGGCTCCAATGTAGTTTCTTTTTGGGTTTGTTATGGTTTTTGGGTAATGGATTATAATATACTACCCAAAAAGGAACTACATAGGAGGGTCTGGGTAAACCCTAAACCCTAAACCCCAAAAACTTAACCCCAAAAGTCTGACCAGTGTTTCGTGTGCTTTCAGCAAAGCCCTAAAACCTTAAAACCCTTTGGGTGGCCCCAATAACAGAACACACATAATATACCATGATATACTATAATATACGATAATATACTATAATCTACCACAACATGGGAAGGAGTCGCAATCTAGACCAGCTGAACTTCCCACAGGCCACTTGAGAAGTTAGTCTCGTGGGTTTTGGAGCGTAGAATTTTTGACTTCACGCGCATTGTAATTTATGGGTTCTAGGATCCGAGTCAACGCTGAAAGGTTTCAAGGATTATGACTTGGCCTTAAGTGCCACGGACTGATCTGGAGGTTTCCTCAAATTAGGGGTTCCCTTTTGGGGTCCCAATCATAAGGATTATCATATGTTGGGGTCTATATTGGGGTTCCTTTACTTTGGGAAACTACCATGCAGATCCTAAGTTGCAGCCATGCCGTGCTTATGAGGGTCCCAATAGCGAGCTCATGCTCACTTGGAGACCAGCTGTTCTCAGTGAATAGCTGCCAGGCGGTGCCCCCAATAGAAGGTTAATATCATGCTCATATCTGGGGATTGGCTTTAAATGAAGACTATGTAAGCCTTGCATACCCAGACCCCCTAAATGGTCCAAAAAATGGAATCCCCCCAATATGAACCCATTACTACATTGGGGAAACTATGGGATTATTGGGGGGGTTCCATTTTTTGGATCCTTTAGGGGGTATATGCTCACCTGACAGTTATTCACCTGAAGCTCTCCTCAATTGTACAGAAGTGGTGTCGAAGCCACTAAGGAAGTAACGGAGGGTTTATTTCGATTTTACGCCGTTTTGTTATTAGGTTCAAATTTGATTTTATCTAGGTTTCAGTTGATTTGAGTCACATTCCTACTAGATTGTAAATAGATGGTCATGGGTTTGATGCGCTTTCAAATTGATGTTAGATGGTTTTGTTTAGATGTTACTTAAGTTTCGCTTGCCAGTGTTTCTATCACGATTTTAATTAGACATAATCGGCTCTTTGTCCGATTTAATCGACTTCTACCTGATCTTACTGAGATTTCAATAGGATCCTATTATTATATATCCCCCCATGTTCGGGCGGTACGATGAACGATGAATACCCCCCCCCCC